TGCACAAGGTAACACGGGCAACAAGAGAGCTTCAGTTCATGGAGGCAGAAGACAGAAAAACAACAAGAAGCGCTTAACAGGGTCTTTCTGGCTCCTTTATCTTTTTTTTTTCCATTAAGTTTATTGGTACATTTTAGATACACAATACAGTTACATTCATCATTGGGATCTTGTACCTTTACATGATGTATCTTGGTTCTTATTTTTTCCCCTTCCCCTGCCCTCCTTTCACCCCCTCTACCCTTCCCTAATAAAAAGACTTTGTTTCCATTTTTTTTCTCATATTTTCTTTTCTCTTCTTTCCTTTCCCCTACCCCTCCCACTTCCCCTACTCCTTTAGACCTTTCCTTCCTATTTCACATTATGTATTATACATTTTGAACCTTATTTACACTTTTAGTTTTTTCACACCAGAGAAACTGTTCAGTATTTACATGTGTCCTGTTTATTTCACTTAAGAGTATGACCTCGATGTGCATTCATTTAGCTATAAATGTCTCTAGTTTCTTGTTCTTTATGGCTGAGTAGTACTCCATTTTATAGAAAAACCACATCTTTATCCAGTCTCTAGTTGATGGGCAATTGGGCTGTTTCCAAGTTTTAACTATTACAAACTGTGCTGGTATAAACATGACGTGCATACACCACTGTGGCATGATTCTCTTAATTCTTTTGGGAAGATACCCAGCAGAGGAATAGCTGGATCAAATGGGACCTCTAATCTTAGTTTTTGGAGGTATCACCATATTGATTTCCACAGTGGTTGCACCAGTCTGCACTCCCACCAACAATGGGTTCCTTTTTCCCCACAACCCGGCCAGCATTTGTTACTGGTTGATTTCTTGATAGCAGCCATTCTTTTTGGAGTAAAGTGGAATCTCAATGTTGTTTTCACCTGCACCTCTCTCCAACCTCACTCACAATCCCCAACATGAAACTATACTACAAAGCCACTGTGATAAAAACAGCATGGTGAAGAAACAGACCCAAAGATGAGTGGAATAGATTAGACAATGTAGAAACAACTCCAGATATACTCAGCTACCTCATCTTTGACAAAGGAGCCAACCATCCTCACTGGAGGAAAGATAGCCTCTTTAAAAAATGGTTTTGGAAAAATTGGATTTCAACCTACTAAAGATTAAAACTAGATCCCTGTCTTTCACCATGCACTAAACCAAAATGGAAATGGATTAAAGATCTAAATATTATAACAGAAACACTAAACTTGCTGGGAGATAAGTTAGGTAGAACTCTTGAAGACATTGGCATAGGAAAAGATTTTATGAACAAATCCTCAGTAGCATGGGAACTAGCACAAAGAATCAACAACTGGGATCTCATCTTATTAAAAAGCTTCTGAACTGCAAGAGAAACCACCTACAGAGCTAAGAGATGACCTACAATGTGGGAAAAAATTTTTATCAGCTGTTCCTCTGACAAAGGTCTACATCTAGAATATATAAAGAACTCAAAAAAACCAGACCCTCCAAATATAAAGACCCGGTTCAAAAATGGGAATCTGAAATGATCAGACATTTCTCAGACAAAGAAGTAAAAACAGCAAATAAATACATGAAAAAATTGACCCCTTTATCTTATTCAGACTACTTAGGGTGGATAGTGCTCATGCCCTTAATAGTAGTGCCCTCCAACACAGGATCTAGATTTAACTACCTCTAGAAAAAGCATGAGGCCTTGGGGAACATCTAACCACAAGTCATTACACCAGACCATTGTAGTTTAAAATGCCTTCTCTGTTAACTGATCTTTTTTTCTGAGATCCACTGAAGTAGGGGTTCTCACAGCTGATTCTTACATCTTCTATTGTTTTCTTTTTTTCAGTGTCAGGAGAAACATACCAAAAAACATACAAACCAGTTTTTTCCCTCATTTCACATTTGTCAAATTAGAAACTAATAATTTTAATTGAATAAATAGCTGTTTTATACAAAATAAAAGCAAACGTTGTAAACTCATTGTATTACAGGGATTGGCAAGTGTTTGTGTAAATCAAACCTTGTATAAAACCACAGAAATGGGTACAACCTGTAGCAAATTGGAGACTAGATGTAGGTAGTTTGTGCCTTGCAGTGTTTTCAATCCTAATTTACTTTGCTATATTGATTAACATATGAATAAGGATAATACTTGGGAGAGTGTGACTTTATGAATGACAATGCAATATGCAAACCCAGTATAGGCCTTTCTATTACATTATTAACTCAACTGTGCCATTTTTTAATGTGGTACACATTTTCAGTGTTACTAATGTGAATGCTTACAACAAGGGAAATTTGGAACTGAATTACAGTAAATGTATCTTTTTGTGAGGAAGATTAATTTGAAGGCTTCATATTAATATCCAAATAAAAATACATAAATTAATGAAGGTTGCTTCATACTCCAGGCAAGTTAAAGTAGTCAGAGGTTAACAGGTACATTGATGTCATCATAGATTATTAGAATAGAATTATTGAAGAATATTTTAATGTAATAAGACAATTCTGATCAAAGCAGATAATGAAAATTGCTGGCTTCATTTCTTAGTACCAAAGAGATTATTCAGTCCACTTCTGTGAGACTACAAATAATCTAGTAGATAGAATTTTCAATTGACCAACTTTTGGTACACATCTGAGATCCATTCCAAATGTTTATAGACACATTATACATACTGAATCATAAAAAATTAATTATGCTTGAGACTGGTGTGCATTTTGTTTAACACCTTGATAATCACTTAACTAACTCTGGGACTTAAATGAACTCGTAGTTTTAAAGAAGCCATTTACAGTTGGTAAATATTTGGGTAATGTTTTAAAATGTTTTTATTAGCATTTATTGATTTTATAAAATATTGGGTTTCAGTGTGGTATTTTGATATATGCATATAACATATATTGATCTTATCTATCTCTCCTATATTTGGATGTGCTTCTGTACAGTACTTAATAAGCACCTGGACCTGGTTTGTTACTTTTGACACTGCTACTCCAAATGTGATGCTTGACACAGAAAATACTCTCTAGTGACTTTACATATTGTGGTAGAAAAATAACAAGAAACATGAGATTTAATATCTCATGAGAAAGGTAATTTGAATATGAATATTTGTGAAGGTAAATTTTTAACTAAAGAGTAAACTTTTATTTCTGGGTATATAAACACAAATGAAAAATTAAAATTTCTTAAGATTTGAAATATATATATATGCATACTATATACCAATATTATATTAATATTTAATATTAACAAATATATCCTTGAATTGTTTTAATATATTGTGATTTCCTCTAATACAAATTAGTTCTTGGCTATAGAGCATTCTTGATGAGACTGATGAGAAAAGCAAGCTACACCCACAAGTCTGTCTAGAGATTAGCTGATGAAATAAAGCTGAGGGGATGACATTCTTTTGTGAGAATACTGATATGAGTGATAATTCAGTTTCTCTGCCACAGTAGGTCATTACACATAATTATCCCGAGACCTCATCAAACCTAAGAGAAAGGCCTGACACACTACATAGGAAATTAGGTTCTGTATGCTTAGTTAATGTCCCATCACAACATGGAAAAGCAAGAAGCTTTGCAAGCTGTGACTTTATCAAATTTTCTTTTTTCAATGTTTTTCTACCATTAGAATTCTGAAAACTGTAGTTGAAAAGTCATATACAATCTCATTTAGCCTTGCTTTTGCCTCAAAGTCACATTGGCTTATATCTTAGCAGCTGCAAAATTATAAGTCCTAGGAAATCAGCAGAAGTTGAAGCACATTTTGGTATTAATCATCAGTAGTAAGAAAGGTGAAAGGCTAGTAGGAAGGGACTGATTAATCATTTTAAAGTCCCAAGAAATGTTTCCTACCAAGGAGGAATAAGACCAAAAGAAGCTTTGACTAATCAGTATTATACCCCATCATGTATAACTCTTATTAATAAATTTAATTTGTAGTCCATACATATTAGCAAAAATGCAAGATGTCAATTTTAAATAATGGTTGTGTAGTAAAAGATTCTGATTGTAGCAAACACATATTGCTTAAATTATTTGCTATAAAATGAAGGTTCTATCTTTCTGTATCAACACTAGAACATTCAGATAGTGAACTAAAAGTGAGGACAAACTATTTTAGGAGAGTAGAGGGATTATCATAGTTCTAAAATTTTAATGCAAATAGTTGACTAGCTCATTCTGTGTTGATTCTAAATCCTTTTGGGGGAAACTTATGTGCTCTTAACAGGAAAATTTTCCCTAAGGACTGATAAGAGTATTTTGTCCTTTCTTCTCATTTGTGATATTTTGCTATAGTGAATACTGGAGTCAGTCATTTTTGGTGTTCAACTGCAGTATAACAAATGCTATTAGTAATGAAAATACCTGTAAAGTGCTCCTGGAACAGAAGTCTCCATGGCAAACATCAGCAAAAGCCTGCTATCTAAGTATCAACGTGTTTTTCTCTGACAACCAGTGATCTTATTTTATTTTATTTTTTTTTGGTTTTTTTGAGATAGGGTCTCACTTCATAGTCCAGGCTGGCATTGAAGTGACTATGTAGCCCAGGTTAGCCTCAAGCTCCTAGCGATCCTTTACCCTTAGCCTCCAGAATGCTGGGATTACAGGAGTGTACCACCATGCCTGGCCACTGACCATTATCTGTGCTGAGATATATAAGTGACAAATAGACCTAAGGAAGGGATTTCCCTTAATTCCAGCAATTTCATTAGTTTTGCTTTTTAATAGAAAAATAGTCAAGCTCAAGGTATCTCTAAAGAATGGATGGCCTCTGAATAAGGTATTTCTTAAAATTAAACATAAAAACCAGCCATGGTGTTACAGGCTTGTAATCCCAGCACTTGTTAGGTAGGCTGAGAACCGGTGGGAGTTTGAGGCCAACCTGAACTACATTGTAAGACCCTGTTTCAAACACTCTCCCCCTAAATAAACAACAACAACAAAACCCCTTCAAATTAATTGTGAGAAATACTAAAGACAACCTTAAATGTAGAATCTTTTTATTTAGTCTTCATTAAACAATGCAGAGATTTTCACTAGAACAAAGACTATAACATTTAATAGTTTTCACAGAGCCCTTCAGTGAAAGCTTTGGGAAAGAAACAATTACAAAGTAAGCTAGCCAGCTCTGTGAATTACTACGTTATTTGCCAGAACGGTCACACGTGCAGAATTATCCTTTCTAGTATAGATAAAACACAGAAAACATGGGAAATTTAACAGTATAAACAACCATACACACACACAAAAAAAGAGTAAAACTAGTAGGAAACAGCACAAGGACGGAAACTGAAAAAAAATGAATTACCCATTTAAACTGTAAAAACTTTACAAAGGGAGAATAACTCCTAAAACTCAGCTCTCTCATATTAAATTTTTTCTTCTGTAACTTGGTACTAGATTTTCTTCTCTAGAAGAAATCTGGAAGTTTACACCTGTTAACTGCTACTTGGACTATAATACAAAAGTTTGTGTCCATATCCTCAAGGCTTAAAAATAAATTAGGTAGTACATCATAAAAAGAGTGGTAATGATGTCATAATCCCTAATGTCATATTCCCTAATGACTGTAAATATATCTCATGAGCATGTATTGCTAAATGGCTTTATCATTTGTAAAAAGTGAAACAACTAACAAGCCAAGTGAAGAGTATTGAATTTATACAGGTATCTCTAGCTACCTAGGCCTCAAGTATTCTGATGATAGAAAAGCAGATCATAAAAAGGCATGGTAAATATTAAGATGAAAAGTTTTTAATTCCTGATTCTAGTTGACTGAATGGACTCCATATATATGGAGGCTAGTTACCAGGAAGTTGAAAACTTTACTGAATGAAACTTTCTACTATTTATGAAAAGGCCAATGCTGTGTGTAACTCATTCAGATGAGTCACTGATTTTTGGCAAAGATATGAGAGAATTCTCAGAGTTAAACTTAGGGCTTAAAGACTTCTTCTAAGAAATAGGAAGGTACTGGGAGATTATTAGATCTCTTCAGAGGAAACTCAAGTAAACTTGGATTATCCTACAAATATTCCAACAAAATCATTACAGTCAGGACCAGCTCAGTATTGCCAGTCTATAAAAAGTGAAATAAATGAAGCAACATCAAACCAGGTAGCTTCCCTGTTTTTAGGGGGGTAACAGAGCTTTTAAAAAACAACTCTAGGGCAGGGATTTAGCTCAGTGGTTCCACTGCCTGCCTTGCAAGTGCAAGATCCCGAGTTTGATCCCCGGTACCAAAAAAAAACCCCCCAAATCAAAAAACAACTCTAGTACCACCAATTTACTCATCTTGTTAGCTCTAACATTTCAAAATGCTTCCAAAAGAACTAAAACAATGTTTAATATAATACAGCAGTCTATTGCCTCTAAAATTTCGTATTTTGAATGGTTTATCAAAAAAATTTAACTTTGAGGTAAATTTCTGTTATATAACCAAATAGTCTTAAAACTTAGTACATTAACACTTTAACATGTCACCTTTTAGTCTTTAAGTGCAGTTTTCAGTTTTACTCAATGTAATTAACATATTTCTGGCATTTCAATATTGCTGCAAATTCTTTGTAATGTTATTTGGCATAATATAATCATTTTCAGAATTATTTCTGTATATTTAGTGACTTTAAATGAACAGACCAACTCCCTCTTAACCCAACCCTCAATTAAAAATAAAAACACAAAAAAATGAAAAGACAACAAGAAATGAGATTAGGTTCTAGGAGGAGGAAAAGTAATCAATAAAGCATGGGAAGTGCAAGAACCCGAGTTCGATCCCCAGCACCAAAAAAATAAAAATAAAACATAAAGCATGGGGATGCAGAAGTTAACTTTTTGTACTCATACTCTACACTACTAAATTAAATTTACACGACTACAGCCAAATACTTTCCAAAACCTTTCAAGAAGCTCCAGTGGATTTCTGGATTTGTTCTTTTAAAATCAAGATACTCTGCCTTTGCTCTGGAGGCAGCATGGCAATCTGATCTGCAGTTAGTTGGAGAACCTGCATGATCAAAGCTGCTTTTTCTTGATCCTGTGGAGTTACCTGACTCTGCCCAGGACTAAAGCTACTAGGCTGACCTCCACCTTGCTTGCTTCCCCCCTGTATCCCCACCCCCTGTATACTTGCTGCCTGCATTCCTCCTCCTTGTATGCCTCCTCCTTGTATGCCTCCTCCCTGCATGCCTCCTCCTTGCATGCCTGCTCCCTGCATGCCTGCTCCCTGCATGCCTGCTCCTTGCATGCCTGCTCCCTGCATGCCTGCTCCCTGCATTCCTGCTCCTTGCATGCCTGCTCCTTGCATGCCTGCCCCCTGCATGCCACCTCCAGGATTCCCCACTCCTGAAATGCTTGGGACCTGTCTAAGTCCCTGGGGGCCACCTGCCCCTATATTAATGGAACCAGGACCCTGGATTCCACCAGTCATAGCACCTCTAGAACTAGGTCCAGGCCCCCGCATTTCTAATCCTCTTGCATCCATGCCTCTTGCTTCCATCCCTCTGGTTTCCATAGCACAGGTCTCCATTCCTCTTCTCTCCATTACTCGGGTCTCTAAAACGTCAGTTTCCATTGCTCGAGTGTCCATCCCTCGAGACTCTCTACCTCCTCTGCCATCCATAGGTAGACCTCTTTGATCCATCATGGGGCCTCTGGGGTCTCCAATAAGCAGTCTGGCATCTGCTATTGGTCCTCCTCTCATATCATGTGCAGAAGGGCCTCGGTTATCATGACCAGAGGCATGGTGTATGGGGGGACCCTGATGAGGTGGACCCAGATAACCTCTGGGTTCTACTTCTCCAGTAACTGAAAGCAAAGTCCCTCCACGTGGATCATTTGGAGCATCTCCTAACAGTCCTCGAGGAGGTAGGCCAGCAGCACTCATGGGGCCACGAGGAATAGGAGCTCTAGGATCTGCCATCTGCACTTGTCCCCGTTCTAAAGAGACAGGGCCAACCCCTGGCATTCCAACTTGTGGCTGCATTGCCCCTCCAGGAGTTAAAGAACCAGGACCAGGTCCAGGTCCAGGAACTGTAACTGCTATTGGCCCCGGAGCTGGAATTCCACCCTGGATAGGAGTCTGCATCAGAGGAGGAATGTCTTTCACAGGTCTTCTCGCCAAATGCTGAGGTTGAGGAGCTGGAGGATTCTGTTGGCTCAGCAGAACGTTGGGTCCTGGGCAAAGCCCAGGGCCAGGGCCAGGCCCAGAGACAGAAACAGGGCCTGAGCCAGAAACAGGGCCAGGGCCAGAGACAGGGCCAGGGCCAGAAACAGACTGAGATTTGCCTGGGATCAGTGGGGTGACTTGTATCTTTCGATGGAGAATTTTCAAAGCAATCTCAGGATCCATGATCCTCATCACTACCTGTGCCTGAAGCAGTGCGTAAGCCAGTTGTGGGTTTTGAAGTAACATGTTTCGAGCTTCCTGGTGACTGTTTTGGACACAGAGCTTCATCTGCTTCATCAGCTCAAACATCTGCTCCGGAGGAAGACTGGCTACTGCTCTGGTAATCGATTCGGGGGCATCTTCTGGATCGATGGGATCCCCATAAGGAGAGTCAATGATGGGCGCTGCAGGCCCTAGGCTCTTTAACTCCTCCTTATTCTTTTCACTGGCAGCATTGTCCACCCGAAGGGCTCTCCCACTAAACTCACGCCCATTGAGGTTTCTCATGGCACTAAGTGCAGTCTCCTGGTCTTGGTACTCGCAGAAACCATAACCCTTGGGCTTTCCAGTCTCTCTATCATATACGAGCCGGAAACTGACAACGGAACCAACCTCCGAGAAAATGTCCTTTAATTGCTCCTCAGTTGCCTCATACGGAATGTTTCCCACGAACACGGAACGCAGTGATCGATCCATTGCCGGGTCTCTCACTGACAAACTCGACATGGTTTTAGTTTTTCACACAGCCGACAGCGGGTTCTTCCGAGTTGTCCTCTGCGACCCACGCTTCCGCTGAGAAACGGAAGCGATTATCGAAATCCGGGCAGGAACCTTAGCGATCCAGTAGAATAGTTCCGCTTCTGCGCGGAACATGCGTCTAAAGGTCTCACTAAGGCAACTAACGTTTTACTTTCCCAGTCATTCGTGGTTCTTACTGAGACGCATGATTTTTTTTCCCATCTGTTATTTCACAGACTTTGCGTGCCGCTCCACCCCCATCAAAACAGGCTGTCTTTGACCACAGTAAAAATGGCCGCGCAGACTTCACTATGGTAACTGGGAGTGTCGGCCTCTTCTGACGTCAAAGGCAGTTGCGTTCCACAGGCCCCGCCAACCGAAAGCTGAGTTAAGGGGTCTTGTTGTCGGGCCTGTTAAGTGTATTTTCATATAGCCTTTTCTCTTTAAAACACTTCAAACTATTTTTTAAATTATATTCCAGACCATGAGGTAAAAGTGTATTGTTTAAAAGATTTGAGACATGCGTCTTAAAATAGAAAATAACCCCTGTTTAGAAAAAAAAAGGAAATTAACTGCCTGAAAACACATCCCCACCCCCACCCAGTTGCTTCCTCTAACTGCTGTTAATAAGTAGGTGAGAGATTCTTCTAGGTTTTTCTCTGCACGGGTAGCTGTCATTCTTTTAATATTATGAGTCTTAATTTTAATATTGATTAGTGACTTCTAATAAATTGTATTCTATGGCTGCAGAGTATTGGTTAATTGAATTTATTTAACTATTCTTAAATTGTGGGCATTTAGATTAGTTCTATTTTTATTATAGACTATGATGTAAGTCCACCACTGCTATCATGAAAGGAAAAACTAGTTCCTCTTTTGCTGCTGATTGAGCAGACAGAAGTTGAAACAAAGTGAGTGCACCCTCCTTTCACTCTTTTGGAACTGAAACTTGAAGAGGGTTAGGTAAACTGGATAAGGCCAAGCAACCAATTGAATGGCAAAGTCAGATATTTTTTTCTTTATTTCTTTTCAGTACTGGAAATTGAACCCAGGACCTTTGCACTGACTTACATCTACACCCCCTTATTGATTGATTGATTGATTGATTGATTGAGTCAGATTCTAGCTAAATTCCCCAGATGTTACTCGGTTTTGCAATCCTGCCTCAGCCTCTCTTGAGTGCTAGGATTATATAGGAATGTGCACTATCATGCCTGGATTGCAAAAGTTAGAATTCTTACCTACAACCAACTTGCATTGTCCCAGAAGTGCGGTACCCTATGTGGTGGTATTTATAATGTGGCTAGTGTGATCAAGACACTGAATTTTTTTTTTCTTTTATTGGTTCATTTTAGGTATACAATACGTTTACATTTATCACTGGGTGCTTGGACCTGTACATGATGTATCTCGGTTCTTATTTTTTCAATTACCTGTGCGCCCTTCACCCCCTTCACCCTTCCCTATTTACACAGATTTTGTTTCCTTTTTTTAATTTTCTCATAAATTTTCCTTTCCCTTCTTCCCTTTCCTCTTCCCCTTCTACCACCCCTACACCTTTGGACTATTTCCTATTTCAAATTAACAATTATTCATTTTAATCATTTTAATCCTTATTTACACTTTCAGTTTCTCACACTAGAGAAACTATTTGGTATTTACACATGTGTGTCCTATTTATTTCACTTAACAGTATGGCCTCAATATGCATCCATTTAGCTATGTCTCTAGTTTCCCATTCTTTATGGCTGAGTAATACTCCATTTTATAAAAGAACCACATCTTCTTTGCCCAGTTTCCAGTTGATGGGCACTTGGACTGTTTCCAAGCTTTAGCTATTACAAACCTTGCCACTATAAACATAGGTGCACATATATCGCTGTGGTGTGATTCTTTTAATTCTTTGGGTAAGATACCCAGCAGGGGAATAGCTGGGTCAAATGGGACCTCTAGCCCTAGTTCTTTGAGTTATCTCCATACTGATTTCCACAGAAGACTGAATTTAAAATTTTAAATTTTTCAACTTCAGTATAAAAACTGATGGTCAAGTATCATTTTCTTTTTTTTTTTTTGGTACCGGGGATTGCACCGGAACCACTGAGCTAAATCCCCAGCCCCAAGGTCAAGTATCATGTTCAGGTGCAAATTCCCTATAATAAGTGGGGATAAGCATTATGTATTATGGGGATAAGCACTATGTATTATGTATGCCTAAAATGTACCAATAAATGTTTATTAAAAAAGAAAAAACTTATTGAAATATTAAGGTTATTTAAATCTTAATATTTGATATAATTTAAGTGTAGAATCTATGAACAGATAAATGTTAGTAATTTTAAATAAAAATTAAGTGCTTTGGGCCAGGGATTTAGCTCAGTGATTCCGTCTCCTGTCTCAAAAGTGGAAAGTTCTGAGTTCAATCCCCAGTACCCACCCCCTAAAAAAAAATTAAATGCTTCTAAAACTGGCACCACAAAATGGAACTTTTTTTAAAAGTTAGATTTTTTTTTTTTCCTTTAGAAACAAGTGGCTTTTCCAAACTTCCTCAGGCCTAGGGCATAAAAGTCTCATATCAGCCTGGACAAAAAACCAGAATATGCAGATGTTGGCACCAGGAGGTCAAGTCCAACTTGATTTCCAAGGAGAGGAGAAGCAACCTTGAACATATCTGTTGTTTCATTGTATCCCTTCCTCTGACTGTGCCTTGCTATGAAAAACCATAACACACCTATATAAGGTGAGATGGTGATTTGAGGCAAATGGGCCCCTACATCTTTTCCAGGCTAGCTTTGAATAAATCCTATTTCCTTTCTACCAAAAATAAATGGCCTTTGATTTGGTCAAATGGGAGCAAACAAACCTAAGTTTGTGAACATAAGTGTCCGGTGACATTTCCAGTTAATATTTAGCATTCTAATTGAGGTAATACATATAAAATCCATAGAAGATTTTGAAGACTAACCACAACAAAAGTGCAAGTATTTTATTAATTCTATGTTATTTTCATGTTGAAATAGTATTTTTGATATAATGGACTAAATTGACTTGACCTCAGTATCACTCATTTTATCTTTTTAAAATTTAAATTACAAACATGGATTTGATTATATGTTTCTGCATATAATGATCTGCACTGCATCAGAATCTACGCCTAAACTTCTAGACAAAATCATTTGATTCTAAATATACCTTTTGAGGAAGTTATTACAGAAAGTTTCAGCAAATAATTTTATTATATTTCTTTAGTATCCCAGTACAAGAAATAGATTTGAAACAAGTATGGTGGTTTAGCTACAAATAAAGACAATATCCATTTAGGTTTTTTAATAGTTCTTTTTAAGTCTTAGATAACAGCTGTTCACCCAACACACACAAAAGTGTGTATATATCTGTAAGTGATAAGGTATATTTAGATTACCTAATATCTTTCTATTATGTCAAAGAAACAGAATAATGCTACTAGTAGTTTTGTTGTTGCTGTTTTTAGTAGTAAAAGTATGTTGTTTCTACCCCTAATTCTTTCATTGGAATATGGGTAGAGGGAGTTGAGGTCAGTATCATTTCAGAAAACTAAAAAATCCACTTGTCTTCTATACCATTCCTTTACAATAACAAGCCATGTATATAACAGTATATATAGCATATATATATAACAAGCCATATATATATATATACAACAAGCCATATACACACACACACACACACACACACACATACACATACACTGTGGCATGCATATATATGGCATATATATATATGTATATACATAACCTATGGCACAAGTGCCACTGTCATCATGCAAGCCAAATGGCCCAAGAAACTGAGTGTTGGATAAAGGTTGTTTTTTCTAAACTAAAACCTCAGTATTCAGGTTTAATTGCAGTGTTGGCACTTCTCTGCAAATAAGTGAATTTTGGGTTGCAGTTTGGGCAATCAGTCTCAAAGGTTCTCCATCACTGTCTTAGACAATGAATATATAATTGTCTGTTAAATCCAGTAAGCATTCAGATGATAATAGGCAAATAGAATAAATAGTAAAATTCATAGAAATTTGCACAGCTTATCTGACAGTTTATTGACTGCTAAGAGTGATAGTGTCTAAACAAGTGGCCCTTGCTCATTAGCATACATCAGGAGCACCCAAAACCAGTTATTGTTAAGTGGGATTCTGACTTAGTAGATCTGGACAATTTGCATTCCTAAATAATACTTTGATACTGGTGCTGCTGGTCTGCGAACCTTTAGAACTCAGTGGTAAGGATTCCAAGTCATTTTTACTTCATTTGTAGTAGATCAAACTGAATTTAGTATATTTCATGCTAATGAAATACAGCTAATATATGCTGATCTCATACTGAAGATTCCCTGGGCTCAAAAGGTTGGATGAACACAGGAGGTGAGGAATTTTCGGAACAAACAAGAATAGAGAAGATATGACTATAATGTGTTATTTCTCACAAGTTCTTTAGTCCTTTTATTCTAATCTCAAGCAATAGAACTGTTATAGCCCCTTAATTAGCACCAGTGTGACTCAGGATGTAACTCAATGCCCACAACATATAAACTAGTATTTATAAGCAGAGTGGCCCCAAATCACCAAGAGCTCCTATGTATTTTTCCTAATACTAGAGTGCTAGGAAAAATGCACAGGTTCCTAGGAGGTTAAGTGGAAGAACATTTTATATTACATTTTATTCCCAGAAAATTTAAATTTTTGGATATTTATACCATGGCATACACTCATAAAATATATATTTCAAGTTCAAATGTGATTCATTCAATAAATCAAGATATCAAGCATTTTAAGACTGATTTTTAAACAAACACATAAGGCATTGCAGTCAAATTGGGAGGGGTATCCTTGAAACTAATTAAGGTCAGGAACTATAAACTCAATTGATTTTTCTTTTCTTTTTTTTTTTTTTTGGTACTGGGGATCAAACTTGGGTCCTGTGCTTGCGCAGCAGGCGGCGAAACCACTGAGCTAAATTCCCGGCCCCCTCAATTGATTTTTCAAAAATTATTTTTAAACTGTTACCCTGAAATTGCTTTGGACATCCATTTATAAGTCATACTAGAAAATCTGATGCCTTACTTTTAAAACTATTTACCTTGTTTCAACAAAAAACAGGATTATACAACTAAATCACTCAAATTTGTAATAAAATTTCACCAAAATGAGGCATTTACCTATTTCCATATATCAGACTTTACATCATAATATAAAGACTCTTTAGGCC